TTGAAATTTGGTGAAATCAGTCGGATGGAACTTGTGTGCGATAATCAAGCTGCCCTTCGTATTACATCAAATCCGGTGTTACATGAGAGAACTAAACACATTGAGATTGATTGTCACTTCGTCAGAGAAAAGATACTTTCAGGAGAGATTGCTACAAAGTTTGTGAGGTCGAATGATCAACTTGTAGATATTTTCACCAAGTCTCTCACTGGTCCTCGTATTGGTTATATATGTAACAAGCTCGGTACATATGATTTTTTCGCACCTGCTTGAGGGAGAGTGTTAGTTTACAATATGTATATAGTGTAGTATTGTCCCACATTGGTAGAAGAGCCGTATGTCCTTGTATAGTATAGCTATAAATAAGAACCTCTTGTATTGTATTGTTCATCTAATATCAATAACATATTTTCTCCCGTGCCTTCTCACAATTATCATATACTGAAGTCGAACTCTCTTAGTGTTGCATAAAAGATACAGATCTTATGTAATTTGCAAAAAAAGGGGCCCTTTACGTTCAGCTGAATGAGATAATTATGAATCACCAAATAAGTGGGAGTGAGCGGTGCATAAAAGTCTTTCAGTTATTCTTTATACATTAACATGAAATGTCTTTGCCTTGATATCTTGTGCTTTTTGCATTTTTTTGTAATGTGTAATTTAACTCGTGTTCACTTCACAATTTGAACAATGTCTAGACAAATCTGCCGTGTTCCATCTTAAGCATTTTTTCCCTTTTAAACTGGTGACTTGTGTGCTGGTTTTATCATTTGAAATGAAAGTAACAGCGGGATATGCTTCCACTTAATTGTCCTCCAGACCTAGTGCACCTGGTTGAAGCAACTGTTAGGTCAGAGCATCATCATGCACCAAGACGGCCCATCTATCTTCTTGGAGAATCTTTTGGGGGATGCCTAGCACTTGCTGTTGCTGCTCGTAATCCTCATATTGATCTTGCACTAATTTTGGCAAACCCAGGTTCAGAAGCTTGTAATTTTATCTGAGAAGATTTAATATTGCCTGAAGCATGTCATAGTTCTCATTGCAAAGATGTGTCTCAGCCACGCGTCTACGTGAATCTCAGCTGCAAAATCTGATAATGTTGTCAGAAGTCATTCCTGAGCAACTCCATCCAAGCATGGTTAAAATGCTAAGTGTGACGACAGGTTATAGTTAACTTCATCCTCTAATTTATGAGTATAGTAGTTCAACTAGATGGAAATTTGACTTGCTGAACTAGCATTATGATAACTTTTAACAACTCTGAGTTGTATATTTATGTGGCATTTGTTTTGAAGTTACCAGAAACTGATTTTTTTTTTTGTTGAGTTTTGTAGAAAGTGTTTGTTTGAATGATTTTTTCAGGAAAGATTAACTTCTTTTGAAGATTTCCTAACTCATTTTTTTCGGGACATCTTACAACAACAACATACGCAATATTCACACCGTGGGGTCTGGGGTTTTCGGGAAATCTTCCCAAAATAAAAAATAAAAAATTCCTGCATGTCCTAGATTACTGTGCTAGATGAAATGTGAACTGTTTGGTTTGGTGGATAAATGATCATAGCTTAGGACTATTATTTATTCTGAATCATTATGATCAGAGAAGGGGAGCCTTGGCGTAACTAGTAAAGTAGCTGCCATGTGACCAGGAGGTCACGGGTTTGAGCCGTGGAAACAGCCTCTTGCAGAAATGCAGGGTAAGGCTGCGTACAATAGACCCTTATCGTCCGGCCCTTCCCCGGACCCCGCGCATAGCGGGCGCTTAGTGCACCGGGCTGCCCTTTTTTTTTTTTTTAATCATTATGATCAAAAATCTTGCTGACTAGAATTGTAAGAGTTGCTTTTTTAGATTGTAGGAGCAAAAAGCATGCTAAACATGCTCTCCAGTTACAAATTAAGATGTTTGCTTGCCAATCTATTACCACAAATCTCACTTTACATTGTATATTTCTCCAAAATATGTGTGTATCAGTTGAGGCAACGCATACTTCATCTCAGTGTGCAGCAACTTATTCTGGTCATGTTTGTTCTAACTTGCACCACAAATCCAGTCAACTCGAACAGCTTGACTGCTGAGCCAGAATAAACCAATGACTTGAAGAACTTAATCCCAACATTGAACAAAACATTCAGATCTGCTTGCTGTATGCATAATTCTTTAAGAAGCAATAGATTTGGTAAAACACCTCACCTTGTTATTACATCCTATCCTTTAAACTTCTCTTGATAAAGCATGTATGTTCATGTTCATCTGATTTATGATGTCAATAAATCATCACCTAAGCTTTTAGCGCCTGCACGAATAAATTTACATTTGGTACTTTTAGTTGTAATGTTGATTGGGACTAAATCCCTCCTTAATATTGGACTATGATGGGCTAAAAATGGAGCGACATGAAGAGTGAGGATTCATATAGCCAACCCGACTTGCTTTGGATTCAGGCGTAGTTGTTGATGTTGTTGTTGCTGATTAGGACTAAATAACTTCAGCGATACTTGCCGTTTTTCTTGCTTAAATTGGTTAGCTGAGTTTACTTTGTGGTAAACTTTTAGATGAACTGACAACTGATGGGTGAAACTCAATTACAATGATTAGGTGTTCCTGCAAGGGTGGCAGTGGCAATTCCTGATAATGGGCGTCCTCTGCAACAAGCAGTAGCTGAGTTATTTCGCGGTGATGTAGCATTCTCATCCTACTTAACTGTAAGGTTCAATAGTCTTAACTCAGTAGGTTAAATGCAAAAGCCATCCCTCTAAAAGTTATTTCGCGGTGATGTAGCATTCTCATCCTCTTAAAGTTTTCACCCCTAGATTTTTTTTTTGCATTTGGACCTTTCATCAATTTATTCTTTGTGACATCTCCTTAGCATTGATAAGATTTCCTTTCAGTCACCAAGTTTATTCATGTTGAAATCTTCTTTTCCGCTCTAGCTTTGATACTTCAATAGTTTCAAAGATTTTAATTTAGAAGCCCATTATTAGTTGATATGTTCAGTTTCAGTTTTCTTTTGTAGTCAGTTTGAGCAAGAAAATGATGAAATAGGTTGCAGGTGCTGGCTGATGTTTTACCTGTAGAAACACTTATCTGGCGGTTGAAGATGCTCAAATCAGCCGCAGCTTTTGTCAATTCTCGCCTCCATGCTGTCAAAGCTCAGACTCTGGTACTTTCTAGGTAATTCTTCAGAGTTCCAGCGTGTCACTGGTAAAATTTGGTGAAAGAGAGATTTTTAAACCCCTCCTCCCTCCCGGGAAATAGTTGATTTTCTCTCTCTTTCCATCTTTACATGAAGTTTATTAGTGTACACTAGAATTGTTGCATTCTCTTCTCTTTCCAGACATTTCGAGCAATATCTAATTCAGGTTAGCTTTCGCGAATGTCACTATGCATGACTAAGTGTTCTATTGCTATGCAGTGGAAAGGATCACTTGATACCCAGCCCGGACGAAGGTGAGAGGCTTCGTCACATGCTTCCAAACTGTGAGATCCGGAGATTTAATAATAGTGGTCATGCTCTTCTCCTGGTACGCTGTTCTTCTTTTCCAAACCCTTTCAGACCCAATTCCTTTTTCCAACAACAACAAATCCAGTGTAATCCCACAAGTGGGGTATGGGGAGGGTAGTGTATATGCAGCCTTACCCCTACCTTGTGAAGATAGAGAGGTTGTTTCCGATAGACCCTCGGCTCAGGACCCAATTCCTTTTTCCAACCTCCACAAATGAATTTTGTTCGGTACCATAATCTTTGTCAACAAATAATAAAACAAAGCAGAGAACTTCTTGTTTAGACTATACATCAAATATAGATAGAATTTTCAAAAATCCTGTACATGAAGTCTAGTTGAGGTTTATTTAGTGATAAAAAAGAAAATAAAAGAGAAAATGACTCTTAATAAAATGGAGCAAAGAGAACATGCTTCTTAGTGAATGAAGAGGCTTAGGAATAAGTGAAGTAGGAGAAAGAATCTCAAGGATCAGATGCATAGTGAGGCAAGATGATAGCGAGCCCTCTGTCTTTGGCAGAGGCGGACCCAGGATTTGAAGGTTACGGGTGCACTTTTGCATTCAACTAAAATCTTCTTTGTATGTAGGATGCCACTACTAATATATTATTATTTTTGAATAGACATATACATGTATACATGATTACATGGAATTTTTGCCGAACTTTCCTGATGCTGGTGACCCCTCTCTTTACAACGTAGGTCCTCCTCTGGTCTTTGGTACTTGCAATTTCCTGGTAATAGTGTGCTTTCTAGTTGCTTACACAAAATACAGGTCCTGGTCATTCATTTATACGTTTTTGAGTATTGGGATATTCACTGCGCTCTTCCAACTTGGAATTATCCATGCAGTTTGTATACCAGCTGAAGTGTGTAGCTTTTTCTCTCATTTTCTATTATCTGCTGTAATTTAGGATTCAGGAATGCTACAATCCTGATATAGCACTTTTCTACTTACTTTTTTTTTTTATCTTTGAAGATTGAAGATAAAAAGTACCAACTTCAGTGTGGCCTTCCAACAAAATTACTCTATCAATATAATTCCATAAAAATTTCACACAGTGGCATATTACATGCCTTACTTCAAAGTGAAATAATCAGTACCAATGGCAGTTTATATAATAGGCTTATAGTAAGTGAGGATTCATATAGTTGTTGTAATGGCAGTTTATATAATAGGCTATATAGTCATGCAATAGCCTACTTTGTATGCTCGAAGTGCTGCATGCATGTAGCTGGTTACTTCAAGTCCCCAAAAATATATACTCCCAATTTTTAAAGCATTCATACAAAATCTTATGCCCAAAAAAAAAAAAAAAACTTTGCTGGGGTACATGTTGAGTTGCAGTTTTTGTGCAGGAAGATGGCTTTGATTTGGTTACTGTCATAAAGGGTGCCAATTTTTATCGACGTGGAAGGCACCTTGACTTTGTTAAAGATTTTGTGCCACCAAGCACTTCTGAATTTGACACTGTGTATCAACCATACAGGTATGTTGTCCTGTACTATGTTGGAAGACACTAACCAGTCTTTAGGGCACTGTAGAGCCGCATAATTTGCTTCCTGGTCACTTACAGTTGTATATTGTGCTCTATGTGCATAGATAGGATATCTAGTTAATGAGGTTCTATGCTGAAAAACTATTATTGGCGGGTCTTGCTTCTCTATATAAGATGCTACCTTTGAACTACTTAAATAGGGTTAAGCTATTGGCATAGTGAATCAACTCATCCGCATCTGCAATTCAACGTGTACTTAGTTCATTTGATAAATAACACAAAAACTGTAAGTTTATTTAATTGTTAGTACTTGTATGACTGATCAAAACACAGATGGATGGAAGTTGCCTTCAACCCTGTAATGATATCAACTTTCGAGAATGGAAATATTGTGCGGGGTCTGACTGGAATTCCTTCTGAAGGCCCGGTCTTACTCGTAGGTTATCACATGATGCTTGGACTTGAACTAGTTCCTCTGGTGTCCCGTTTGTGGAATGAGAAAAAGATTGTCCTGCGAGGCATAGCGCATCCTATGATGTTTCAGAGACTAGGAGAGGGGAGAATGCCTGTGTTATCGATGTATGATGATTTCCGTTTTATGGGTGCAGTTCCCGTGTCAGCAACTAACTTCTATAAACTTTTATCATCAAAATCCCATGTTTTGCTGTATCCCGGGGGCATGCGGGAAGCTCTTCACCGGAAGGTATTATTTACTTAAAACATATTGCTAAGAAATGCGCTACTCAAAATATTTCTATATTTCATTTTAAGAATCTAAGGGCTGCATCTCTTAAAAACTTTGTGATTAATTTGTGTGATTTTTCCCTGCTGTACTTGAAACATAAAGTCATGTGAAACAGTTAAATGAGTTGATCACTAACCTTTTCTTTATTTAAAACCACTGCACCATCCAGCAGATCAGTTGATTCTGCATCTTAGGCTCAACATTAGTCTTATTAACGTCATCTGGTAGGAGCAGTTATCTTGTATATAGAGATACACATCTCTCTCTTTCTTGCTTACTCATTTTGGCATATATGCATGTTCTTAAAGATATTAATAATTATAGGAAATTGAATATTCCAGTTTGGAAACTGAATCTGTCATCTGTAATCATTTGATATTACAACTATATATGACCTAATTTAACTTTGTAATATCTGGACCCCATCACTAAATGTAGAATTAGATGGTCATTTTTCATATTGATGAAACAAAAGTGAAAGTTACAACCTGTTGATTTCTCAAGATGCAATGTTATCTGTTGTTATATGTGGTTCTAAGGAAAGTTTGATACAGTGTATATCTAACGAGAAGGCCAAAATTAAGTACTAAAGTAAGTTGTTGGTCGATATTTTCTTTAAGTAAAGGGAGATTGACTTAGAACAATAGCAGTATTCTTTGTAGTTTTAAATGTTGAATAAGGTTATTACATAAATAGCTAATGAGCAGAAAATAAAAGCCTACTGCTCTTCTAACAGTTTGGTCTTCTAACTTCAGGGGGAGGAGTACAAATTATTCTGGCCAGAACAGTCTGAATTTGTCAGGATGGCAGCTAGATTTGGAGCGAAAATTATACCTTTTGGTACGGTGGGAGAAGATGATATTGGCCAGGTAGTCTCATGAGTTTACATTCTTTGAAAAAACTTAAATCAGCACATGCACATCTATTCTGGTGCATGTGTTTCACCACAAAAGTTGAGCTTGTTTTGTTTGGGATGCACAAATACATTTAGAAATATAAATATAAAAAGAAATGCTTAAAGCAATGTTGAATACTTATGACGACAAGATGGATAAGGCAAATGGATAAGGTTGCCGGCACAAAACATTTTGTGGCTTTAGTGCCGTAACAACCACAACAACAACCCAGTAATAATCCCACTAGTAGGGTATGGGGAGGGTAGAGTGTACGCAGACCTTACCCCTACCCCGGAGGGGTAGAGAGGCTATTTCCGGGAGACCCTCGGCTCAGAGGCAAAAGATCTATAACAACAACAGAAACCAGACAAATAATATCAGCACCGTAAGAGACAACAAATAGGTGGAAGAACAATAATAATGATAATAATAAAAATTTAAAATAAAAATAAAAATAGTGTGATGAAACAAAAACCGCTAGCAGTCCTAGACAAAACAATATCAGACTAGCCGGAACAACGAGGAAAAACGTTCAACTACCCCCTAACCTACAACCCTAATGCTCGACCTCCACACCTCCCTATCCAGGGCCATGTCCTCGGAAATCTGAAGTTGCGCCATGTCCTGCCTGATCACCTCGCCCAATACTTCTTAGGCCGCCCTCTACCTCTTCTCGTACCTGCCAAATCCAACCGCTCACACCTCCTAACCGGGGCATCTAGGCTCCTCCTCCGCACGTGCCAAACCATCTAAGCCGCGCTTCCCGCATCTTGTCGTCCATGGGAGCCACGCCCACCCTCTCCCGAATATCTTCATTCCTAATCTTATCCAACCTAGTGTGCCCGCACATCCATCTCAACGGTGTTTTATAATCGAACTGAATCCTTTAGTTTTTTTCTGGTGCTGAGGTTACACATTTTTCATTTTGAAAGGGAAAAGAAACAGAGTTTACAAATGGATATATCAAAACTTCTACCATAAGTAGATTGTAAGAGAGCAGCTCTTGTAAGCAGAAAATTTAGTCATTATTTGGCTGGTCATGATTTTTTACTCAATATATAAAGTCTTTCATCTACTAACTGACGTCCCTCCAAAACTTAGTTTTAGCATGGAGAAAATGTTCTTTTGCTTTTATGTTGAAAGATAAAGTTGGTAAAATTTGGTTCAACTACGTCGACAGATCTAACTACCCCCCAAAGTTCTTTCTTGAAGAAGGAATAAAATGAATATGCTTTTCTATGGTGGGCTGTTATTCTAAATTTTTTATCTGCTGCGAGTAACATTGAGAGCTTTCCTTATTGGAGGAAATTTAGCAACTTTTGTATCACAGAATTCATCCTCTTGTTCACTCAACAACCTTTCAACAGATGCTCCTTGATTACAATGACCTGATGAAGATTCCCTATTTCAAGGCTGGGATAGAGGAGTTAACTGATGAGCTGGAGAAGCTAAGGTATCAAGTTTGTTCTTTCCTTATTTTATCTAACTTAGAGTGTGTATGATATGATGGAAATCATTTTTCATGGAAAAGGTGTTCCTGGTTTGTTCCGCTCTTTGGTTGGCGAGTAGAAAATCTTTTACGAAAAAATGTATATTAAAGATTTAATAATAATGTTAGCACATAGGAGAATGGTTTGATGAAATTTTGAGTAGTAAAGATCAATAATAATGTCCAAGTGGTAGTTGAAACAAGTAATATGAAGTTTAAAGCTCGCATAAAACATTTTTATGAAAAATGACTTCTCATACTAAACACACCCTTAGTTTCTATGTTGTGATAGTCAATGGACCTTGCTTTAATACTTGGAAGCTTATTTGCAAGGTGGAAATCCATGGTGGTCTATGTCATCTTGCTAGAAGACTAGAAATGTCCATTACTTTTAAAGACTTAACATGTTCAAGCTTTTAGACCAGTTAAAACGTACAATTTGTAATGCGATAACCTCTCCTTAGCATTTATGGGTATCACCTATTTGACTGATTAAGTTTATGATTGAAAATATTGCACCTTAGCCTAAAACATTAACTTTGAAGAAAGATTTAGCTAATTAGAAGGTAGTTGAGCTAAAAGCCACTTTGCGTGAATACAGAAATGACATTGAAGGAGAGGTTGCAAACCAAGATGTACATCTTCCAATCATTCTTCCAAAACTTCCCGGTCGTTTTTACTTCTACTTCGGCAAGCCAATTGAAACAGAAGGTAATTCTTAAAGTACATCACAGTATTAACCTTCCATGCTAGGGAAAGCCTGGAGGTGATATTTGATGTCATTTTACTTGGTGTTGCAGGGAGGAAGGAGGAATTAAAAAGCAGGGAAAAAGCACATGAATTATACTTGGAAGTGAAGTCTGAGGTTGAGAGATGCATTCATTTCCTGAAGGAGAAAAGAGAGAATGATCCATATAGGAACATAATGGCCCGAATAGTGTACCAGGCTACCCATGGTTTTGAATCTGAGGTTCCCACCTTTGATCTATAGTTATTCTTCACGTATCTAATTCTTTTCTTTTCCTTTCCTTTGATAAAATATGGCACCTTTCGTCTTTGAAAGGAAAAACAAAATTAAAAAAAAAGGTGCTACCTTCTTTTCTGTGTTTGTATCAGAAGTAAGCAATGATTTGATTTACAAGTTCTTTTTTTCTAGGGTATTTTGGGTTAACAAGCTTAAAGAGAAGGAGCTCTAAAGCTCTTAGCATTTTGCTGCGAGTTGATCAACCTTTACATAATGTGGCATGGGAAAACTCACTCATCGTCAAAAGTTTGGGTCAAAGGAAATGTTGATATGTTAGGTGTTGCCCCTTCATCAATTACGTACCCTAAATCTTTAGGTTAATCAAAAAAGATTTTTAAAAAAATCGTTAGGTTAATGTTTGAGTTGAGCTTCTTGTTGACGTGAGGGAAAGTGAAAGCTAAACGTACATAAAACAGGAGTTGAGTTTTAGTTCTATCTCTTTAGTAATAGCCAAAAGCGGCGAGAGCCTTGGTTTGTGAGTTAGTGTTGAGGTTTTATTTTTTAAGATGTAATATTCTTAAAATGAGGGTGAATGGGAAATGGAGGAAAAATGAAATTTTGAGTAAAATTTTAAGTTTCCCCCTCTTAACAATGAGACATTGTCCCATATTGGAAGTGGAAGACATTTTTGGTGGGTATATATATAATTGCTCTTCTTGTAGCTCTTAAAGAGTTAAGAAGAAAGCAAGCCTCGCGCCGTCGTCGTCGTCGCTCGCTCGGCTC